AAAGAAAGAAAGAAACTTTCCTTTAACCAAACCATGCAGTGAGGTTACAACTACCTGAAGAAAGCATCTTTTTTGTTATTATTATTTACACAAAAACTCCATGTTAGATAACTGTCTCTGGGTTTACACTCCTTCTGATAGAAAGAATTCCAACCACGGAGTGAAATGCCACATACAATGAGAACAGTTCAACCTCAGAAAGATTTTGTAGAAATGGGAAGATAACCACCTCTAATCCTTATTTTAATACAGTTATTTGTATCATTCTCCAGCCTAGTATTCTTTAATGCTTTGTGTCTTTCCAAAGCCCTGGATGACGGACCCCTACTCACCCCACTGCATTCTTCTAGAGCACTTACTTTTGCGATGTAGGACTTCTCTGTTTCTGCTTCAAGGACTGCATTTATAGTTCCTTCATTTTCTTCTTCCAAAGAGTTATATCCTCCGAATAACTCTTACTGATCCTTCAGGTCTGAGTTCTTAAATATATTTCTTCAGCGATGCCTTTGCTGACCTGCTGGTCCAGGTTGCATACCCCGTGGATGGGTCAGGCTCCAGGCAGGACTATAGAAACTACACTAGGTATTTCAGCTAGAAAGAATTTAATACAGGGGGTGTTTGCAGAGGTATTGCAGGGTTGAAAGAGCAAAGAGACACACTGGGGTAACACAGGGATAAGAACTGCAGGAAAAGTTCTCAATCCCAGGACTAGGAAATAAAGGGAAGAGGTAAAGTTTTCAGAACCTAGGCACTTGGAGCGACTGCTGCTCCATCTGAAGAGGCAGTTCAGGGCAGGCACTGGGGACTGGAGCTATGTGTTGCTACAGTGGAGTGGGGGCTCTTCCGGACTGCTGCTCAGTTATCTGGGAAAGGGGTCAGCACCCCACTGCAAGGAAGCAACAAGAACAAGAGAAAGCAGGAAGAGAGTTTCTTCTCTCCCCACCCCGCGCCTTCCACTTCCCTTCTAGAGTCTCCTAGAACCTAACACAAAGGCTGTTGGCAAGGCCATCTGGAAAACGCATTTGCCAAGTTTCATCCCCAACATTGTAGATCGGAGTATGGATGGACAGATGTGCAGCTGAGCAACAACAGGTAAATTGCCAGAACCTTCCAGTAATACACAGAGCTCCATTTTTTTTTCTATTTTTACTTTTTTAAAACTTTTTTTTAGTTTTTATTTTAGATTTGGGGGTATATGTGCAGGCTTGTTACAATGGCATATTGTGTGATGCTGAAGTTTGGGGTACCATTGATCCTGTCATTCTGGTAGTGAGTATGGTACCCAATAGGTAGCTTTTCAACTCTTGCCCCTCTTCCTCCCCAGCTGTCCCCTGGCTCTTTTATTTCCATTGTCTGTTGTTCCCATCCTTGTGCCCATGTGTTCTCAATGTTTAGCTCCCACTTATAAGTGAGAACATGCAGTATTTGTTCCTGTATTAGTTCACTTAGGATAACGGCCCCCAGCTGCATCCGTGTTGCTGCAAAGGACATTATCTCATTCTTTACATGGCTACATAGTATTCTGTGGTGTATATGTACCACATTGTCTTTATCCAATCCACTGCTGATGGGCATCTGGGCTGATTCCATGTTTTAGCTATCGGGAATTAGCTCCATACTTTTAACAATAATGTTAATTATAATCCTAATTGTATTTTTTGTGATTATTGAGTATTTGTCTTCTCCCACCATCCCGTAAGCTCACTGAGGGAAAAGTACATCTGTTTGGTTCACTGCTGTGTTCCCTGCACATACAACCATATCTGAAACATGGGAAATGCCCAATAATTACTAATAATTGCTCACTGGAGTGAATTACTGAAAGAAGGAGGTCTGAGGTCAGGTTTTCTAGTAGAGCCTTATGTGGGATTCTTGCACAAGAAATTTATCAAAGAAGGACTTTCAGAAGAAAGGGAGTGAGAGCAAGTCCTAAGGATGTGGTCTCAGTCAGAGGTCAGTCTCAGCCTGACCCCCGGGGGTGGGGGTTTTGGGGTGGGGATTCTCCACAGGCCGGCTGCCTCCTTGAGGTCTCTCTGTTACTCATTGTCTGCAAGTGGCTGGGACGGACAGGAGTGTGTAACCTCCCAGGAGGATGTCTCCTGATGGCTGAGGGCAATTCTCCAGAGAAAGGGGCAGCCGTGGGCATCACTCACAGCATTCAGGCATGGGTGCACCCAACTACCCAGGAGATCTGGGTGGAGCACCAACAGCACCCATGACAAATAGAGATACGCTTGGTGTCCGGGAATCATAACCAGATGCCGCCAATGCCCCTTTCATTGGAAAGTTCTGTGATCTTAGGATGTCTATAGGAAACAAGTCCGGGAAGGAGTGGATTTCTTTCATCCTGTGGGATTTTTATTAGATGTCATAGAAGCTAGAAAGTTCATCGCCTGCATCCCTGAGCAGCCTGGGCCTTGGCGGGTCTTCTCAAGCCTGAAGCGCCTGCTGGCTTGGCCTCAGCACCCTGGAGGCCCCCAAATAGCAGATTCCACCCTCCAGGCTGCCTCTTCTCTGGAAGAAAGATGGACCTCTCACTCTCTTTCCCTCCTTGTCCCGCAGGTGCCTCTCTCAGCAGTGGCCTGGCAGCCTCTACCAAAGAATGTCACTCTGGCCTGAGGCCCGGCCTCAGACAAAAGCCCTTTGGAGCTAAGCCTGCATCCTCTGTCTGACTCCCCGACCCGCCTCCCCCAGCCACCAACTAGGGAGGACAGCTAAATTCATCCCCCTCAAAAGGATGGATTCCACAGAGCAAGGCCATCTCCCTATTCAGGAAGTAAAATCACTCGGAGCCCTTGATCTCTGCCTTTGGCTCCTGGACAAATAACCGGCTGTCCTCACACAGAGGAGGGAAGGAAGATGAGACGCCCCACGACCCCTAGAGCAGACGCAGGGAGGCCTGTAGATGCATGTGTGCTGGGGGCTGCGAGGAAGGA